TGAAAGTCCTGTCGAAAGTTTCGGAGATTAGCCGGAACAAACAGACAGACAGACAAAAATTTTAAAATTGTGTTTTTGTTATAAGTATACTTTCACATTAAATTAGTAAAAAGCTATTATTTTGACATTACAAACAGACACTTCAATTTTATTTATTTGTATAGATAATAAAATGAAAAGTGTTGCTAAGTTATGTCAATAAATAAATAAATACGCGGTGTCGACGTCGGTAAGTTAAATTCGTTTAAGCAAACGTTCCGCTTTCATACCGACTAATGAGGAACTTCCCATTTTTCTGAAAAATTTAAATGAAACGAGGCATTACGAGGAGATTGTCTTCTGGAGTGATAACGCATCTGTATTTAGATTATTTATGGAGGATAGATGTAGGTGTCTATGGGCTATAGCATCCACTTAGCATAGTATTAACCGTGTGCTCATTTTAAAGTTTTCGTGTAAAAAAAGTTAGATAGAATTTTGTGACCGAGACAACTACGCGAAACAACTATTTGTTTCAAAATTATTCACTCCTGATTAATAACAAAGTAACATACATACATACATATATAATATACAGTTTTTGTTGACCAAATAGTGTAGTTGTACAAGTTTTACGTTAGAAAATCGCAATAACTCGTACCTTCGTACTGTACTGTTTGAATTCAATAATATACTCAATTTTAAGTTTTTAGACGAAGTTCTTTATTTAAAATTTCACATTCTAAATTAGCCTAATATAGAGAAATGGAATTTTTCAATAATGTTTTTGTCAAGAAAGAATGTACTCGTATTTCTAAAATACAACACTTAATTCTCAAATAAAACTATTATCGTCATATTTTCTATGTTCAGGAGCTGCTCTAATTTTGTATTTAACAGAATGCGTGTAGTCTGAGTTCGATTCTGACACCACTGAAATTCGTTAATTTTAGTTAGAGTTCTTTTTGTTACTTGGCGGTTGCTTACGGTTGAAAGATCTGGAGGATATTTGTTTGTGTTTAGTTTGCGTTTGCGTTTATATTTAGTTGTCAGATCTGGACATACTTAAAAACAACTGTATTATAGAGCAAGCAGTAAGAGCATTACAAGCTATTACTTTGGTTTTTTAATTACATATCTCAGATGAAATGATAAAGATAGAATACCACGTACATTTCAAGTAACCTAAAAACCATTTTCAACTCCTTGACTTATAGCCAGTGACACTCACACACAATTCTTTCTTCTTTACTTTTTAACAGCCCGTAAAGATCTACTAGGCATCGGACGCAAATATATGCACCTACAACCATGTAGTTGGTTGAAAATGATTTTAGATGTGAGCACAAGTGCGTTTTTACAATAAGATGTGATGTACGCAGCGCTCCGTTACTATAATACATTTGTTTGCCATTATTTTTATTATTATATATTATTTTAAAATTATTATATTAGATTTACCACGTATTCGACAGTAAAGGAAAACATAGTGAGGAAACCTGAATCACTAAGGAATAAGAAAAAATATTTCGAAGACATGTGAAGTTCTCCAACACGCATAGGGCAGCGCGGCGGACATTGCCTTGCCCTAAAACACTCTCAGAAATAAAAGGAGGAGGAAATACAGACCGTAACTTTAGTTTGCTTTTGTCATTATAAATATTTTATCAATAAATAAAAATTAACGAAATGCAGGAAATCGCGGCAATCTGTTACTACGAAATCACTAGATATAGATAGTGTATGAAGGGCCAAACAATAGGCAGACGTAAAGGAAGCGTGAAAACATAAATAATTCATTCTGACATACCCCAAACATTTGCTATTTATTTCATTGTTGTTGTTTTTGTTTAAATAAATTTTTTTATTACATATTATCTCTACACGACAAGAGAGAATATACATTTAGAGACAAAAAAATATCGCAAAAAATCAAATTACTAATATTTTTATTTACACAACAAGTTAGAAGTGAGTTTTTTTTATAGAATTAGGGTAACACACGAGCACACAGTCCACCTGATGGTAAGTGGTTGCTGTGGCCCATAGACATATGCATCTATCTTCGTTTGCGAATTAAAATGCAAATGCGTTCTTAGCCGCGAGGACTAAGATATAATGCCTCTTTTCCAGTAAAAAGGGTCTCCGGCTATCTACACATACGAAACACAGCAGCATTAAGCTGCTATTTTACGCTGGTATTCTGTGAGAGCGTGGTCCTTCCCCGGTCGAGCCGACCCATTCGTGCTACAACTATACTATTGATATAGCTGCAGCATGGCTCTACCACGTAATAAAAGTCCAAGACAACGTCTACTTCCTAAATAACCAACCAGTACCATCAAGTACCTACTTCATGAAAAAAAAAGAAGATTACAGGACTAAGCTGGAATGCCTCAGTCTGATTATATTTTTTATCGATCCCCTTAGGGCCGAACTAATTGTGTGTGCTTGTTAACAGAAATAAATTCGAGAGTAGCATTTGCTCAGACGGACCTGGGCTGCAAAAGAAAACTACCACCTATATTAAAGTATACAATAGATAATCTCGCAGTTTGCCGGATGTAGATGAAAGATTAGCACGTCTGTTATCGATTCACAACTTAACACTATTTCAGTTTGTTTTCGGGATCGCATCCGTGTATAGTTTAATAATTAGTTTCTGAAAGTCTTCTCACTTTACAAGCATGTTAGTTACACACTTCTCATAAACTATTCATAGCATTCAGTTTATTATATAAACTTAAATAAATTATTTATCATTCATTGGATAGGTAGACTATTATGTAGTTGCCCCATAAGTCTATTATTACAACTCGAACCATGGTAAAAAAAGTTTTTTTAGCCTCATGCATAAATGTTTTCTTTTGCTTTTGACAAGTGCGTAGCTTAATGTTCAAACTCTACAACCACTAAATAATCATAATAATCATCAGCATCATTACAGTTGTGTGCTGACATTAGGTTATAAAGGGCAAGCAGATCAATATCTGAATTACAAGAGCATATACCAATCGTTACATATACGAGCTCCGTACTATGTTAGCCATGACCAAGACCAAACTATTGTAAGTTGTTTACTGTGTAGTAGCAAACAACACAAATAAAAAGTTATTAACAAAAGACCAACAACAAAAACAAACAAATAGGCTCGAAAGCGACGACTCAAAGTCGTATACTGTTGATGTACGCATAAGTAACTGTAGCACAATCTCACTCAACATTAAAGCAATTTTATTGCTGTGTTCAACGTCGCGACTTTCTAGTTATGTATTGGGAAGCAGCCAAATGTTTGCATGGTGCCAACTTACGAATAAGTGCAAATCATCAATACTAAAAAAGGTTAAACGAAACTCATTTTTACGGATTTTATGGCGTTTAATTCACGTCACGTTACGTCAATTTTTAATTCCCGATGTTTCGGGTGCTGTAGATCGAACCAAAAATTTGTATTCAAAAACTAAAGATAGCTGGGCATCGGGACGTCAAACACTGTAACCAAAGAGTATAGTAAGTATATACAGGAACCCGTGACCATGGGTGGTGTAAAGCACCTGAAACTTCGGGAATTAGAAAATTAAATTAAACGCGATAGAATCCGTAAAAATTAGTTTCATTTAATGTGTAGTGTTCACGTAAATATAAGAAGATTTGTTTAATAATGAAATAATGAAAGTTTCATTATTTCAATGTGTAGTTAGAATTTTATCCTACGCGATGCTAGAAAACCACCAAGATAATTTTAGTGCAATATATTAGTTTCAATTTCTATTGTATATTAGAAAGATTATTTATATTCTATTACCTAAAAAAATATTACATATTTATCAAAGTCCTAAATTTCTGAACGTTTGTTTTTGTTTAATCTATTGAGCGAAGGTACATTGTTGATAAACCGAGAGCAAAGACGTGTGGCATTTTGATGGATCTAAAGAAAATAAAACCGTGGAAATAAAAACAGAACGATAAAATAAAACAGGTGAATCGTCCTTGATGTTTCACAACAGTGATATTGGTACAAGAGAAAAGTTCATAATATAATCTTATTTATGATTTAATATTTCTAAAACTAGTTAAATCTATAAGTTTCAAGACATGGGCCCGATAAAGCCGTAAGAGCCTCTTTAAAAAACGTCGTCCATCTTAGTTCTCAGGATTAACAACCCACCTGTATTTTCATTCTTAATTAATTACAGTTAGGTGTCTATAAGCCAAAAGTATACTTTTTGTCAACTTAATTTTTTTTTAAACTGGCGGCCAAACCCCGCTTCGCGTGGGTTATTTCTCGATTTTGACAACAGCGTTACTTACCGGATACAAATATAGCTCAAGAACCATACATTTGACCCCATAAGTACCCCAAAAAATGTATTTAAAAACGGTCAAGTCGTCTTGGAGTAGAAGAATTACGAACACACACACTGGAATTTTATTTAAAAAAGATGAAGCTCATTTGCAAGAATACGTAATCTTGTATAGTATGTGAAGCTAGCGGATGTTAAATATTATGAACAAAGTTAAGCTTTTCGGAAATGTTTCAATATAATATGTCCTGAATAATCTCGCTCTGGATCAACATCCTATACGTGTCTATATTCAGGGGATGAAGCGTTTCAGTGACGGGACCTTTATAATCGTAACCTGGCGTGGCGTCAGTTAATCGCGGCGGCTCTCCGCGGTCGGATGTATCGCTTTGTGAAATAATTTCCCTCCTTCGTACGACAAAATATAGACTTAGTGTTCTTGATTTGCGACACTTTTAGAAAAGTTATTGATAATTGTTAGTGTTAAGTATATTTGTGTTTAAATTTAGATCAATATACGGTTAAAACAATCTTTATGTTTATTGTTAATAAATACGATTTGTTCAATACGTGTAATAAAAGTTTTTAGTATCAAATTATTAATAAATGACGAAACAAATAAATTGCTTTTGCATATTCGCCAAATAAATTAAATAAACATACTTTCAAGATGCCCGTAATTCGAAATATTCAAAATATGACATGTAAATATTCGAAATGAATCGATTCGATAGCTCATCCAAACAAGACAAAGATGATGACAAAAATGTTAAAGGGAATTGTACTAAGCAAACGAAAATTTTGGGTAAGTGTAGAGTGTATATTTAAAACAGTGTAAATAAGTGAAGCAACGATTATAATTTTTATGAATTCCGAGTTTTATTTATATAATAATATTATTACATTAAATATTGCTAACCTTTTAAAATTATACAATATCATTAACATTTAAACATTAGTCCGTGTAGGCGCTATGTAAGTACAAATATCCACTATCCTATTTCGTCCCGCAGGATTCGAAAGAGGCGATAGAGGGGAATAAAACAGGACAGAACGAGGGGCAGTTAGCATGTTTTTGATAACAACGGCAAATATCCGCCCTATGAGGCAATCTCTGGGGGAGGCTTATGTTCAAGGGAGAACTTCTGATAGGCTGTTGTGGTAATGGTAATTAAACATTTTGAAATACGTCTTGAGAAACGATAAAAATACAATTTATTCCAATAAAATTATGTTGGATTGTAACTTTTAAGTACTTAAATTTCTTATATTTTCAACTAGCTGTATTCCGCGACTTCGCCCGAGTGTCATTTAGGGTTTTCAATTTTTTGCGCGGAGTCCTAATTATTTTTCTAAAATAAAAGTAGCGTAAGTTACTCCTTGTAACATCAGCTAGCTGTCAGTGAAAATTCCGTCAAAATCGGTCCAGCTGTTTTGGAGATTAGCCGGAACAAACAGACAGACAAAATTAAAAAAAAAATGTATTTCTGTTATAAGTACCGTATATATGTTCATATGCATGCAGTATAAAGCTGTTATTTTGATATTACAAACAGACACCTCATTTTTATTTATTTGTATATTTTTAGATTTGTGTTTACTGAAATTAATTTATTGTTATCGTGATTTGCTAGTCACTTGCTTCGTAGTCGATTATGAGTAATTATCGAAAAACCTTATGGTCTTCAATAGATAGATGTATAACATATATATGTCATATATGTTATACAACTATATATTGTATCTAAAATGTATATTCCAAATACCGAGACCAGCAATGCGGAGTAATATAAAACGTATGAAATATTGGTACTGCAATCGCGTATGGGAGACACTCATTAAATTGTTACAACTTTCAAATGTTTTTTTCTTTCTTTCTTTTTTTAAAAAACGTTACCCCCACACTAGGATTTTCTCCTGTATCGTGGAGGCAGTTTACAAACAAAGATTGCACGAGGACAAACATCCAGACCCGGAACAATTATTTGTAGGTCATACAAATACTTGTTCCGTGCGGCATTCGAACCCGCGGCCCCCAGCGCAACAACTCATTGCTAAGCCACTGCGCCACGGAGCCGTTTATGGGTTAAAGAAGAAATTTCGTGATATTATGCCAAAGAACCGCGGTAACTCAATATCTCATTGGTCATCTGATGGACTAAAATTTTTCGAAGGTTCCTGAAGTCCGCCAACACGCAATGAAGCAGCGAGGCGAACAAATTACTCAATAACTCACATAGCATATCTTCTCATTTTCTAAACTTTTCTGGGACGGAGGAACCCTTCACACGTTCACTGCTGAACATAGGCATTCCTCAAGGAATGCCTCAAAGGTTTGAGCCACCTGCATCCATCGAATTCGTTCCTTTTGAACAAGGCTAAACCTTAATGCATTGTAACATTAATTTTGTTACCAAGATTTTGAAAATTCTTATTGGTTATGTTTAATTGAGCCTCCCTTCCAGATAAGTTAAGACATAGAGAATGCATAGTTCGATGTGGCCCCCACACATAAAATAGGTAGGTTACGGTACTTTTACGTGTCTATTTGTTTGTGAAATTAAAACAAAAACATACGAATAGGTTTAAAATGAGACACGACAATTTTGTCGTGTCGCATTTTAAACTTATTCCAAATTATCCATATTCACTGCTGAAATTGAACCTATCTCACTGTAGGGTGGTCTAATAATCACCAGGCTTGGCAGGCGGATTAGCGTATTACCGTATTAGTAACCAACCTGTCCTCATCATTGACGCTGTTTCCGGCTTCGGCATTTGACACAACCATTGACGCACACAAAAATATACAAATTTATAACTAAAATTACGTCAATTTAATAAATTTGACTTTGTACGTCAAAGGCATACCGAAATAGGACATCACTCAGTATGAGCTGTGGTGAAACCACAACGCTGATTTTAGGATTTGTGAATACAGCCCCAAGAATAAATAAATATAGAGAGATTTACACAAAGAGAAAAATAATTCTTCACTTGGACCTGTATCGACCACACCGGGAATGTGTGGCCGTCAGGCATGTCCCTTCTTTTCTTAAAATTAAATACAATTACACAACGGAAAAATAATAATAAAGGAAATAAAAATATTTATGTTAAGTGGAAAGTTGCACCGCCATGTAATGTAAACCTTTTGTGGCATATCCCATAGTCTTTTAGGACACCCACAGAATGAAATAAAGTAGGGATTTTTACATTGACTTCACACATAAAAAGTATAAGGATAAAAACATGTGATGTAGTCCAGTTCAATCCCCAGAAGACACAAGTTTGCACGTTTACCACTAAAAAGAACCCCTTTGTCGTATCTCCTCAGTTTCAAGGCACTCCCCTTCTTGCCTCAGCCAGTATCGGAATCCTCGGAGTCGACATATCGAGTGACGTGCAGTTTCGTGGTCACTTGGAAGAGAAGGCCAAATGGGCCTCTAAAAAGCTTGGCGTGCTCAGCAGAGCGGGACAGTATTTCATGCCAGCACACCGCCTGCTATTTTACAAGGCGCAGGTTCGGCCTCACATGGAATACTGTTCCCATCTCTGGGCTGGGGCTCCCCAGTGCCAGCTCCTTCCACTTGGCCGCATCTAGCGCAGAGCGGCTCGAATCGTCGACGACCGTCCTTTCCGATCGGCTCGATTCATTGGCACTGCGAAGAGATGTTGCATCCCTTTGCATTTTCTTTCGCATCTACCACGGGAAGTGCTCTGAGGAATTGTTCGGATTAATCCCAGCCGCCAAATTTCACGAACGCACATCGCGGCAGAACTCCCGATACCATCCACACCATCTGGATGATTGGCGGTCCACCACTGTGCGATTTAGAAGATGTTTTCTTACTCGCACGACTTCCTTGTGGAATCGATTACAATCAGCGATTTTTCCGGACCGATACGACTTAGGGACCTTCAATAAAAGAGCCTACTCCTTTTTAAAAGGCCGGCAACGCAGCTGCGATTCCCTCCCTGGTGTTGCAGCTGTTCATGGGCGGCGGTAGACACTTACCATCAGGTGAGCCGCGTGCTCGTTTGCCCCCTCTTCTATAAAAAAAATGTGACTACAGTCCATCTTTGTTTTGAAAACATCGAACAAGCATTTAGCTTTAATATTTTACGTAGGTGGAACTTTGACATAAACCCCAACTGATTTCCATTTCCTTTGAAGGATTATTGTTGACGCGAACGTGTCAATCTGCCTATAACATATATTGAAATCTTTCCGCGCCTTATTTTATTTATTCAGTTACTATATCTATAGATTTCTGTTATCCTTTGTGATTTATATGCTGAAGGGATGGTTGATTCTCCAGTTCATAGGAGCTATCCATCAAATCATTTATAACATGACTGTATAAAAAATAAAACTAATTTTTTTTCATACTATACATTTCTTTATGTTGTATTTGAAAAATCGGCCCTTAAATGTGTTTGCTTTAATTGGCATTTTACAAACGTCACACTGCTGGACCGAAGTCTCATCTTAGGTATTTCTTGAAGGGTTGTAGGAAAAAAAGTGCATTGCTATTCCAGTCTGAATTAGCTTAGTATGTCGTCATAATATTTTTAATGTCTCGGGCGTATAGGTTTTATCAGGATGCATCGCATCAATCAGCACTTAATAATATTGGTATTAATAATAATATTTTTTTTTGATAAATAATTATTATTAAAGAAGAAGAAGGATACGGTATTAACAGAGAGAGTACATCACTCACCTTCGATTTGCCGACAGTATAGTCCTTATAGCGAATTCGCTGGAGGACCTAAGTACTACTCAATTATCTCACTAATGTCTCACAGCGGTTTAGTCTTAAGGTGAACATGAACAAAACAAAGATCATGTCCATGTCAACGTCCATGTCACACCTATGCCGGTAGTTGTTGGGAGCACTGAGCTTGAAGTTGTTGACGAGTATGCTAATGGGTGGTGAAAATAGATTGATGCAGGTGGCTCAAGACCTTGCTTTGTGGCATTCCTTTGGTGAGGTTTATGTTCAGCAGTGAACTTGAGAAGGGTTGTAATGATGAAGATGACAAGTCCCCTGCTAAATATAGGCCTCCGCACAAGGAATACCATAAAGTACACTCTTAAGCAGCATGCATCAATCTATTTACGCCACCTCTTACCAGGTCATAATCCCCATCGAGTTGGGTGACGCTCTACACTTCGCCTGCCGGTACGAGGCTGCCACTCGAGAACCTTCCCCGTCGGTTGTCGGTTCTTCGAACTACAGGCCAGCCCATTGCCACTTCAGCTTACTAAGCCGTTTTTAAGTCTGTCATGATCAAAACCCCGAGCATAGCCATCTCCGTAGCCTGGAGAAATTAAAAATATTTGACGACATATTAGGCTAATTCAGACTGGAACTTCAAGAAATAACATGATACTTCGGTCCAGCAGTGCGACATTTGTAAAATGCTAACTAACGCAAACATTTAAAGACTGATTTTTCAATCCTCAACTAAAATTTATTCACAGGTTAAAATACAACATAAACAAATAAAAATGTTACTATAGTATGAAAAAAATTGTTCAATTTTTCATACGGTCATGTTATAAATTATTTGATGGATAATTCCTATGAACCAAAAAATCAACCATCCATTTAGCATATAAATCACAAAGGATAACAGAAATCTATAGATATAGTAACTGAATAAAGAAAATAAGGCGCGGGAAGATTTCATCATAAAATTTCTTATAGACAGATTGACACGTTCGCGTCAAAAATAATCCTTCAAAGGAAATGGAAATCAGTTGGGGTTTATGTCAAAGTTTCACCTACGTAAAAT